TTTTTAATTAATTTGAAATATACTCTACTTTTCTTCTCTCTCTCTCTCTCTCTCTCTCTCTCTCTCTCTCTCTCTCTCAATCCTTCCCTTTTATACCTGAAAATGTTGATAAACAAACAATGTGACACGATTGACCACTAAATTATCTATACCAATCAATACCGGCAAAAAGATTGTTTAATGATTCCGTTATGAAAAATATATTTGAAAGATTTTCACAGATTCTGTAAAAGTTAAATTTCATTGAAAGATTAATTAAATAACGATATCTTTTTTTTGATAATTAATTAATCAGAAGATAGCAATCATTTTCATTTTATTCAATCTTATCACAATGATATTGATATGAAAGAAAATAATGAGAACAATGATAAGTGATAAAGTGATCATCTTTTGATGAATAAAAGTTTCAAATTTAATTAATCAATTTTTGATAAATATTCATACAATATGAATAATAAGATTGCTTAATTAAAAATTTATTCCAACAAATTTATTTTAGAAATTTGGAAATTCTAAAAGAAAAAAAAAGAAAATGAAAATGTATTAATAACATATAAATTTGAAACGAATAATTTTGGATACTTAAAAAATTACTTTAAAAAAAGAAAATGATAAATGTTAAATTGATTTTGCAACAATTTTAACTATTTTCAATATTTTAGTTGCCTTTTTTTTTTTTTTCATTACTTTCTGATAAATCCAATAACCGAAAACATTAACATACATATCTGTTTGGTTTGTATAACTTTTCCGTCCGGTTTTCCGGTTATTCTGCACCTTGCTAAAATTACGATCAACAAAATTCCGATTCGATTTTGCTAAAATTTCATTGATTGAACTAAATTCTGATTATTTCTAAACTATCACAAAATCATCTTCATAAAAATATTTCCTAAATTTAAAATATTCACAATGTGAAATTTATGAGAAACGTAAAGTGCACAATACTGATTATATCATTCAGTAAAAAGGATTTATCAAACTTATCAAATAACTTTGAAATTATGCCACGAAAAAAAGAACGATGATATTTTCATAGTAATAGCATTTCAATATTTCTCGTTCTTGTTATCACTGATAACATCAAATACAAAAAAAAAAAATAGAATTTACTGATAAGAAATTTCAAGAGATACGGCTTATAATCATATATATGTAACTTATGCATCACATTTTTGTACAAGATCAAAGTAAAAAGCCGCCGTTTGATGGTGGCGCCTAGAAGCATGAACGATTTTTTGATATGCTGTCATCTCTTCGTTTCTCTCCTCTCTCAATTCATACTTACTGAGCTCATCACTTTTTTTTTTTACTCGTCAAATTTATTGTTTCTAAAATTTTTATTGAAATGATAGATGATTATATTAGTCGAATGAGAAGATAATAATAATAATAACAATAATAATAATAACAATAATAATAATAA